ATTTAGGAAGTTGCAGTTTCAGAACATTATTTTTCATTTCTCTATTAAAATAAGAGACACTTAAACAGGTGTATACGCCTAGGAGAAGGAATTGGTTACAAGAAGTGTGGGAGAGCAGGAGAGCGGAGATGGTATTGGAGTAATTTGCTAAAGTGGAGAGAAAAGCCAAAAAGTGATGTCGGTCAAGATGATGGCACGAACAGAAGGGAGAACACAGTCATCTAGGTGCCCAAGTTCTCAGTGGGAAAACTGCTCAACATAGGAGATAGGATGATTATTAAGTTACAATATATTAGGGATAAAGAGAAGTGTAGTTCACCATGAGGAAATGCAGAACTGTGAGAGATGACATTGTGAAAGAAGCTTTTTTAAAAAAACAGACAAATTTGACAGCTGGGGCAGCAGTCCCAAATGGAAGTCTAGTTTGCAGATTTTCTGGTGTCTGAACAGAATGTCCAGAGTTATCATTGGCCTCATGACAATAGGAGATGAAATCTTACTTGTCATCACTAAAAATAAGCCTTAACAATTCTGAAAACTCTGCTTCTGGGATTTTAAGACATTGTCTTACACAAAAGTTGAGTAAAGTACAATGCATGTGGTAAAGGGTAATGGTTTATTTATTGAGTCAGAGAAGGTAAAATGTTTACTAAGATAACAAAATCTGAAAAGCTAGTGTCACTAGCACCTTGAAAGCTAGAAATGAATGGCTGCATGATTTTAGTAAATCAGGGAAGTGAATTATGGATTGCCGTTCAGTAGAAATTGCAACGTAGTACATGTAAGTGAGAAAATTGAAATATGCATTAGATTCATTGTAGCCTGAGGCTTTCTATGAATATGTACAAGAATAATAGAATAATCTATACTGTGGATCCAACAGTTAAAATATTGGTTTTATCTAGTACATAAATATTAAACAGCAAACACATGTAAGGTCTTAGGCAAGACACTTTATATACTATAGTTATTAGTTTTTTTTAAAGCACTCAATATTCACATGGGGATGCAATAATAGAACTCCCATTCATTGCTAGTAGGAATACAAAATGATGGATTCCTTACTAAGGATATTCTTACTATAAAATCCAGTAATCATACTGGATTTACTCATGAAATTTACTCAAATAAAAAGTCTTTCCACACCCAAAACCTTCATATAGAAGTTTGTGCCATATACCTCCTTAATCATAACTGCCAAATCTTGGAAGCAACTAATGTAAGAAGTCCTTCAGTAGATGAATGGACAAAAACATTGCAATACGTCCAGACTGTGAATTACTATTCAGTGTTAAAAAGGAATGAGCTATCTGCCATGAAAAGACATGAAAGAAGTTTAAATTTATATGACTTAAGTTGAATTTGCAGAGTAGTCTGAAAAGGTTTTGTAATGAATGATTCTAACTACATGACAATGTGGAAATGGCAAGATAATAGTAAAAAAAAAAGCAATGTCTGAGAATTGGATAAATGGGAAGGGATGAAGAAGTACATCACAGGACATTTTAAAAGCAGGAAAGCTATTATTCTAAGTGATGCTACAGTAGTGGATCATGTTATTGTGTACTTAAAACCATAAAAGAGCCAGTCACAATGCAAACTGTTCCTCATTATAACTAGTGGACTACTGTTATATGGAATGTTGATGGGTTCGGGGGTACCTCTGAGAATCTAGACAGGAACGGTTCATGAAAACCATATTTTCCACTCAACTTTTATATGCACTTACAACTTGTACTAAAAAAGTTTATTAATGAAAAAGAAAAGTGTGTTTCAACATTGCAAAATTTTGAGGCTCCTCTGAGATGTAGTGATTGACTGATGAAGATATAGAATATGGGATGGAGATAAGGAACTTACCTAGTCAGTGAATATGAAAATTACAGGATCTAAGAACTTTTTCTTGTTCACATTGAGAAATGATGTGTCCTTCATTGCCAAATGTACCATTCTGGATAATTTTGTTATCTCTAGCCATGATATAAAAGAAATCCCATTAATGCTCACAAAGGCAGTGGCTTGTTGAAATCTGTATTGAAAGCAGTTTTTTGTGGCATCTCTGAGTCCTTTTGTTAATTCACTAGTGGTTATATTGTACTTCTGATGCTTCTAGGACATAGAGGTTGTTATTGTGCTTCAGAGGTGTGACAGAATGGAACTCTTACTGGAATCATCAGGAAGATGTGTTTATTTTGTAGCCGTTAAATTTGACATTTGGAATCTGGTAGGGGATAAATGTGCAACAGCATATTTTCAATCATTTTCTCCAAACGCTTGAGGCCATAGACACAAGGCTTCTAGAATATGCTTCTCTCTAACAGTTGATGATGCCCCCATTTTCCACATGTGGCTACCAATTGAAGCAAGAGATAAGGCCATATTGCTGTACACCTTTTATTGTTGCCACCAAAACTGTGGTCAGGGTTTCTTTTCCATTTTCATTTTTATATTATGGGACTTATTAAATAAGAACAGAAGTAACTGCCAGAAATCTTTGGTTATCCTCCATTTGGTAAATATTATTTGTGCCTACCTAGAAGCCGAGGTTGCTTAGGACATTACTTCATTTGCTTTACCTTCTACAACAGAGTCAGAATTGGAATCAGACTGTTTATTAGACAAGGAGAACTACTAAAGATCACAATATGAACAGGCTGTGGCAGGCCTTTTCAGTGGATGCCAATAAAAGTGGTAGTCAGTTAAAATGGCTATTACTGGGTTGGTCTTCTAAAATTCAATACAAATAGGTTTAACTGTTATTATTGTAAAAGGGATACTTAAAGAAATGTGTTTCTAACTAAGAGATCTTTTCTCAAGGCATCCAGATACATCTTCAGGAAGAAAAGATTTGTATTTGGTGGTTTCGAAAACAAACCCACTCTATGGAAATTTCTAACTGCCTACCTCTGATCAAATTAGATACAACTACAAGTGATGTATAATCATTTCTTAATTACTTACATTAAAATGAAAGAGAGACAAAACAAAAAAAGCAAAGGAAAACGCTGATCTTATTTAAGTGTTTGTTTTCCAAGTCTATTTCCCTTGGATCAGAAGTGGCTACAAAATTTGTGAGGCCTTATGGAGAGTGCACATGCAAGAACTCTTGCTTATGATTAAGAATGTCATGATTATATTAGGTCACTAAATTTGTATTTATAAGAGTCTTGCCATTGCTTTGATGTAGTTCCCAGAAACGTACACAATGTCCACAACACTGGTAGGACATGCACTTCTGACCCTGAACAAGTGCTCTGACCCCTTCCAGGATGAAGGCAGCAGCCATATCTGGAGGAAGGTGTCAGGATAGAAGAATAACGACCAAGAACCAATAGAAGCCAAGCATCCAGAGACAAGATACCCCCGAGCCTAGGCTACATATCCATGAAGCATGCTAATTTGTCCCATTAGGCCACTTACAAAATACAAATTCATAATAAAATTATGAAGAAATTGAAGATGACAGTAACAGAATATCTGATTAACCACATGTCCATAATACACATGGCTGGGAAAAATCATATCCACCTGCACCCTTCATAGGGTACTAATCCCATTCACAGAGTCCCTAGCTTTTGGCCTAATCACCTCTCAAAGGCCCCACCTCCTTGTGCCATAGCAATGAAGATTAGGTATCAGCAGATAGATGGGGGGATGGGATGGGCAGAACATTTAGGCTTTAGCCAGGCTCAGTATTTACTGGAGTTGATAGATACTAGGCATTAAAGACGATAAAGACAAATCACATTTGTGCCATAATAGGAAATAAAGATACGAACAAGAACAGTATAGGAACGCGGATTTAAAAGATTAATTTTGAGGGGCCGGGAAGGTGGCTCAGTGGTAGAGCACTTGCTTTGCATGCCTGAGGCCCTGGGTTTGATTCCTCAGCACCACATAAGCAAAAAGAAAAAAAAAGCCGGAAGTGGCGCTGTGGCTCAAGTGGTAGAGTAGCCTTGAGTTAAAGAGCTGAGGGACAGCGCCCAGGCCCAGAGTTCAGGCCCCACGACCTGACCCCCCCAAAAAAAATAAAATAAATAAGATTAATTTTGATGAGGAATATAGAAAGGTTATAGGTTAAAAAAAAAAGGATTACTTGTCAGGCAATGATGAATGGTTGTTCTAACTACCAGAGTTTAAGGGGAAAATATTCCAGACCAAAGGGACATTTGAACAAAAACAGTGAATACAGACAATGGGGATAGCTGCACCTACGTGCTGTGACATTCAGTCATGATTTAGTATATTCAACCGAAATCTGTTTTCCATTCACTGAGCTAGAAGCGGGAGATTCAAGACTATAGGATTTGGAATTGGACAAAGCCATGTTTGAATCATAATCTGCTACTTACCAGCTGTGTGACTAGAGACAACTTACTTAACTACTTTTGAGCTTTAGGTTATACCAGTTTTATAGAATTATTTATAAGGACTTGGTGAGATAATGTTTATAAACTTTTGAACCAGCACTCTCAATATAGCAAAGGAGATAAGTAAACAGTTGTTCTAAGAGTTGTGATAAAAGCTGTCTTTACCTGTGGATGTCATTCAGGACTTCACAAAAGATGTGCTATTTGAAACTGAGGCCTCAAGCATCTGAAGAATGTATTTGGATGACAGTGGTTAGCTGAGAAAGAGCATTTTTTAGGGTGAAATTAATTCTGGAAGTGATGAAACCCCTTTGGGAGTAAGAGTAACAAAAGGAAGAGGACAGATAAAGACAGACTGATGTCTCATAGCCTCACCAAACTATACTAACCCAATTTGAAACATCAGACTGTTCCATTGGGAAATGGCAAATGACTTCATGTGCTACACTCTTAAGTAAGAATAAACAAGCTTGCCTAACAACTTCTGTAGCAGGTATTCTGGATATTGTCTTTCTAAGTGAAATCTGTAGTCAGGAGAGAGAAAGAAAGACAAGAAGTCTTCACAGTGTTGGCTGTTAATATTTTACTGTGTGCATGATGCTTAAAAGAACATTTTATATTTTCCTCTAGACTGAACAATTGCCTTTGCAGGCTCAGTTCCAAGAGAGAGAAGTTGGCAATCTTCAACCCTCTGTAAGTAAGATGGTCGTGTTGTATCAGCTTAGGTAGAGCTGGTGACTCACATACTCAGTTAATTGTCATTGGAGGTTTATAAAAGTTCATTTTACTCATCTTTCTCCTATATGAGTCTTTTACTAGGAATTGGTAAAGAGCTTGAGCTTGCCTTTTCTTAGAAATAGTCTTAAGATTGCATAGGAAATAATCAAGTTTTATGAAACCAATAACCAGGCAGACATCATAAAGCATCATAGGAAATTCATGTTCGAGAAAGTATCAGTTGTAGCCCACCCATGGTCAAGCCAGAATGAAAGGTTAAGACACAAGAATATTTTTGGCAGCATTTCTCATTCTCAGTTTTGTCAGGCATATGATCAAATGCCAGTTCCTTTTACTGTCCTCTTTCTCCAGTTCCCCATTTCTAGGTCTTAAGATTTATTTTCATTTTGTTTGACTTAATTCTCCTCATACCCATATTCATTCTAGGTTTAAGCCTTGCTACAGGTACTCCTGAAGTACACAATTGTATCTTTCTCCAGTTTACTGACAACAAATTCCAAATTTCAAAACCTGAACCAGATCATTGTACCCATTCCTTGAAATCTTGCATTTAGGAGTTACTAAAATATTTATTTTAGTCGTCAAGAACAACAGATAACTGGAATATCCTAAGTAGTTGAACTTTTTACCTTGCTACCCAATTCTTTGTGGTATAATGAATCGGGTATATGAGCTTTAATTAATTTTATTTTTGCCTATTCTTACCAAAGTGCTAAAAAAAGGGGCGGGGAGGAGAAGGAAAAATACAAACAGCTGCTCTGCTAATGTAACCAATGTTTGAATTTTTCAGAATGGACTGAATAGCAAGAGATTTGCGTGTGAGGATGAGCACCCAGTAGGAGAAGATGGCATTCAGCAGATGCACCCCATTTATAGTCACATGTGCTACAAAGACCGGAGCCCAAGCAAACAGTATCAAAACAATGATCCAGAGAGAATCTACATCAATCCACGAGAACATTATGTGTGATTTTTCTCTTTTTATCCAAATGGCCATTGGAACAAATGTTGAAAACTGAGGTTGTAGTTATTATATTCTCTCTTGTCTAAACAATCCCAGCCTTAATGTACTGGAAATCTTGATACGTGAATTGAAGCTAATCGTGGAATTCTTTTTTTCACTTAGGGTTTCTTAAACACCAGCTGTGTTTGTGAACTTGACTGTAGCTCTGTGTTTCTGATACTGGTGTTTAACTACTAACATTTGGCCTATGGTGGTATGTTCATTTGAAAGTACATCTGCTGGTGATAGCTGTGGTGACTCTTCAGAAAGAAAGGCCCAGTCATTAGTAACAACCTCACCAGGCTTCAGGCAGCCCAGCATGCTTATCTATGATTCAAACAAGTGGAAAAATAAGTTTAGGATCCATTTCACAAATTATTTAGCTGGGTTTTAGATTTCCTGACATGCTTAATACAATTATAATATGTGTATACAAACAGAAGCCTGAAGAAAGGCAATTTTTTCTCTTTATCCTAAAAGAACACCAACAAAGGGCACTTTGCAGTTCCTTTTAAACCCTTGTGTTACTGTGATCTGTGTTCCTTCCTGATCACTAAAGTTCCTGAAGGGTCCCTTAATCCCTGCTGTGATCTGCCACCTCATGACTATCTTCTCTTACTCTGTCCTTCTGTCCTCCTTGCTACCATCCTGTTCTTCACTTGGTCAGATTAACCCATTTCCCACCTATTTAAACCTGGAAGCCCTGCCTACATGATACACAGCCATTCCTCTTGTTCCTCTTTTCTCCTGCTCATGACAAGTGGAGCTTTCACTTCAGAAATTTCTCTCAAGTGAATCCCAATCCACTTAGGCTCAAACAGCTTGCCTGCATTCTTCAGACTACATATATTCCATGTTTTATCTACCTCAGAAAAACCACCTGAAAATCACCATGAAATAACCTCTGATCTTAAAAATCAGGTGGAATATTTGGAAACTTTGTTAAGCTACTTCAGTACAATCTGTGCACTGAACTCACATGTCTTCTCCCCTTTCCCCTACTTGTCAAAGAGATTAGTAATGCTAAAATGTAAATAGCATAGACACTTACATGCCAGTATAGCCTATAACACTTCGATGCCTATAAACATCTGCCTTGAATTTTCTCATATCCCCTTTGCTGGCTTTCCATCACTGTAATTCCTCAAGTCTTAAGGAAAATGCAGCTTTTCTGTGTGTTCTGGGAGATTAGAAGTGTGTCACCAGCACAAGAAAATACCACACACTTGTCATATATTGGAAAAGAGTAGCATAAACACCGAAATAAGCCATATATATTGCCAGCCTAAACTACAAAGGGAGAGGAGGATAGTAACAGATTTCTAATGAGATCCCAAAGTTACTTTATGAATCATGATATGACTTACGTGTGTTTCCTTTTTTAGTTGCTATGCTTTGTCAGACAAATTATCCAGGCGGTTCTACAGTAGTAATCATCCCCACACCCCCATGCCTGGGTGATCAAAGGTCCTGAGAGATAGGATGTTCCAATTCCACCTCCGTGCCTTAACTAGATGAGTAGCACTTTTAAAAGTTAGAGCTGTTGAGCATCAAAGGGTAAATTTCAATGATTTTTATTGCACTGCTTTGGAATTATAGTGTGATTACCATATAGCAAAGAAGATGGCCTGGAATGCCATCACTTAGGAACGTAACTAAAGATATAGAAATTCTTGCAACTATGTTCTAACAGCAAGATGACTGCTCATAGCTCTGTGTGTATATGTGTGAGTGTGTGAGTGTGTGTGTATGTGTGTGTGTGTGTGTGAAGGGGGATGTAAGTGTGGGTATGGATGTGCTGGGCTCTTGCTCTCATTTAGCTTTTTTTTTTTTTTTTTGGTGGGGTAGGGGGGAATGGCTAGAACTCTTACCACTTGAGCTATATCACCACTTTGGCTTTTTTGCTGATTAATTGGAGTCCTTTCTGCCCAGGCTGGCTTCAGATCTCAATCCTGTTGGAGTAGCTAGAATTATAGGTATGAGCCACTGGTACCTAGGCTCAGAGCTGACCATAATGATAAAGCACTTAATAAATATTAGATGTAATGGAGACAATACAATGGGCAGTGCCTCCTTTAGAAAGCTGTAAATGAGTCTTAAAGCTAGAGATGGTTTTTAGGGTTCTGCTTGGAAGCAGGAAGTTGAATTGGTTTCACCAAAGCAACTGTAGGCCTTGGGGCAGGAGAACTGTCTCTATAAGAGAAAAGAATTTGGAAGTTGGAAGTTTTAAGAATTCTTTGTCCTATCTTTAGAACTCTCCCATGTGGAACCCACTGTCTACCTTTTAACATTCTGCATGGCACCTCTTTTGTAGCCAGCCCAGTTTGGTATTCTCCTTGCCTTTCTGCCAGCTATATTTCTTGAACAGACTGGTAGATTTTATAGTTCTTGGTCCTTTGCATGGGTCACACAAGTTCTATAATAGTTTGTTCTGGTATTTTTCATCTGTTCTCCCTGAAAACTTAGTGAAATAAAGAGGAGCTTTAATCAGCTCCCTCTACTCCAAAAAAATATACCATGCAAATTTAGCCTATTGTTTTCTATAAATTTGGAGAGTGGACTACTGGATGAAGCCATTTAGATTTGGACATTTGACTCTTAAAGGTCAAGGAGTGAGGTTGAAGGCTATGATTCACAGCTGGTGTTTTGTACTCTTCGTATAACTTGTTAACTCAAACATCATATTAGAAATAAGTCCTATAGTATTCCCCACTTCTTTGCATCTTTACATTTCAAGGAGCCATGGAAGCATGCTCACCTTACACACAGCCTTTCCTGCCTATTTGATATGCAGCCCATCCCCTAAAGCAGACCACAGCAAATCTGATCAAACACCAGGTCTATGCAGATCACACTTAAATGAAGCACCTGAACCTCCAAACATAATGGAATATGAATCTGAACTGATGGTGGTTTATTATCTCTTCTAAGAGAGTTCTCCTTATACTTCTTATCTATTCTAAATTTGAAGTGCGTGCTCACTGGAAATCGTTAATGAAATACTTATCCATAGTAGGCCTTCCTGTAATATGCACCTGGCAGAATAGAGAAAACACCATAAACTAAACAAACTCCATCCTTATTTTCTATATCCATATTTTCCCACCGAAACAGCAGTTCCCTCATCCATCTGTTGAAAATAATTTCCTAAACCTTCCTTCATAGTAGTCTGAAACTCACAATTGTGTTTGTTGATGTTTAGCCTTCCCCTCACTGTGCTCTCCTTTCTATATAATTGAACCCAACATCAAGCCTCTTATTCCCTGCAGTGTAGAAAATAGACCAATATTTCAAGAACCAAAAGTATAAGTTCTACTCCCAGTTTTACCCCTTTCTCAGCATGAAAACTTAGAAGAGTCACTTCAATTGTCTGGGGTATTGTTGCCCATCTTATAAGGGAGAGTGAAACTTTCAGAACTGTAGTGAGAATTAAGGTAATAATAGATAAGAAATTCTAAGTTCTCTCCAAGCTGCCAAGTGCCTATGACTCTTGTTAGTGTTTCATATTGAACCTAAACTTTTGTGCATTTGTCAACATTTAGTGTACCAGATGATCCCCAGAGAGAATCAAGAAGCAATATGGAAATTTCTATTTCATCCGATTCCTTTGTAACCTGGTACAAGTAGCAGACATTCATTCCCTATCTAAAGCTTTCCATGGGAAAGTCTTAATCTTAGCCTCTCTAACTTTAGCTAGAATTGAAAATCCATATTGTTACAATTCAGGCTTGCCTTTATTTTACAAATTGTTAACAGCTGTCATTGAGTGAGTAGTATGAACTGGGTTCTAGGACAAGCCCCTTATATGACCAGACCCTTGGTTTTTTCCTCTTTCCAAGAGCCCCTATGGGGACAAACAGACAGACCACCCATCATAGGTTGTACTGATCATCAACCAGTTGTTACTTTTTTCAAATCTGTTTCAGTGATTACAAATGATAGTTGTCTTGGCTCATTGTGTTTGGTTTTGTTTTTTTTTTGTTTTTTTTTTAAAGCAGGGGTAGAAGTGTAAAGCCTTTATTTCTTCCCCCTCCCCCCAAATAGAAGGTAAGGATTTCAAAAGACAGGACATTTTTTAAAGCACAAATTAACTGGGACCATATTGTAGAAATTCCTTCTGCTGTCGGGGAGAATGTAAACTACCATGGATGATTAAGATTATTTTCCATTCCATTTGTTAGGAATAAATTATTCCATTGATCTTAATTAGGATATCCTAATCAGAAAGCAGAGGGTTAGCTTGAATGGTAGGGCACCAGCCATAAGTGAAAAAGCTGAACAAGAGCTTGAGGCCGGAGTTAATGCTTTAGTGCTGGTACACATGTGTACGTATGTGCACGCATGCGCGCTGACAACGCGCGCACGCACGCGCACACACCCCCTTCATAAAAAGCTAGTTACATTCTTATCCTGTGGTTGTGAGGTTGAGGGTTAAATGCCTGTGTTTCAGAGGAACAGATGTTGGGGGAAAAAAGTCTCCATGAATTGACAGTAGGCAGGTTTCTGCCCTCTACATACATACTCATTCCACAGCTATATTACTGTTGTCACCAGCACATAAATTATACAGGAAACACATCAGTCGGACCGGAGGTGATACACTTTTGGAATTAAAGGTGATTAACAAATTATAATTGCTATCCCAAACTATCATCAATAAACCATAAACAGCTTTCTGAGATATTTCAGCCTCTGCCTTGTGGAAAGGTAGAAGACCAAACAGACAGCTGCCCTCGTGTGATTGCTCCCAGCATGTAAAGTTCCTCCAAGTTCCCCATGGCCCAGCAGGCTGATTAGTATCATGACCTTTCCTGGCTTTATTTATTTCCATTGCATGGAATTTAACTGTGAAAGTTGATTATAGGAGACCTTGAGGGGAAACCTCCCTGAGAATCCAGAACATCAGATTTGCAACACTGGCTTAGAACTTTGACCTGATATTCATGGATATAGCTGACAACAATAAAGAGATATGTTTCCTCCAGGGGTTAATTTCTCTCAATAATTCATGCAGGGTCTATGTAACCAATAGTTGAATGTGATTTTCTGAGTAGGCACTATTGTTTCCAATACCCTTTCCAGAAATGCCCAGTAGTTTTCTAAAAAATAAAATATCCTCCCTCACTTTAATTAGGACAAAATAATACTTATCTCAGATTTTGTCTGGATGTACATTTTATTTATAT